GGGCCTTGGTTGTATCTACAGGGGAAGGGTATGTTACTGGTCATGAAGGACAATGGGAAGCAGGAAGGACGCTGAAGCCCTATCACTAGGATGGTGGGCAGGGACTTCATTGGGTGTACTCCACCTTTCCCCTTTTCTTCTCCTCTTTTTTCCCACTGGGCCACACTTACGAGGGCTAAGCCATCACCTAATAGGACTGCAGATGGTTTAGTGGCCAGAGGTTTGAGGCAGGCAAGTGTCCAGAGGGTCACGAGGGCTGCTGGCAGGGTGACCCAAGAAACAGTACATTGCTTCACCCTCTTCTCTCCTAAGCCTGAAGCGTGGAGACTGAAGGAAGCTACTGGTATCAACCTGCCAGTGGCCTGGAACACCCTAGTTGTGCCACATACAGAGCTAAGTGCCCTAGACTAGGCTAGGGTCCAATGAGTGGTTGTCTGGAGATGGACTAACTTTTTTTCTTATGGGAGTTCTAGGTGGGAGTGGGAAATGGGAAGAAATCTGAGTCCTAGCTTCTGAAATTCTAGTTAATTTTAGGGGGCACTCTGGGTGCCAATTTCTCCCTGGAGTGATGCCAGTAGAAGGCTTTTTACAAGGCAAAAGGTATGAAATCTCACCTTTAGGCTTTCTTATGATTTTTCATCCTTATTCTTTTAAAATGCAAATATTCCCAAAAGGGTTAAACATTTATAAATTCACATATTTATGTTTATTTTAAAATATTTGTTCATTTATTTATTTATGTTAGAGATGGGGTCTCACTCTGTCACCCAGGCTGGAGTGCAGTGGCACAATCATAGCTCCCTGCAGCCTTGAACTCCTGGGCTCAAGTGATCCTCCTGCCTCAGCCTCCCAAGTAGCTAGGACTATGGGTGTGTGCCACTGCACCCGCCTAAATTCACACATTTATAATTTCCCTCAGGAGCTAACAAAGGCCAACAGTCATTCCAGAACCAGCAAGGTGCCCTGGGGACTGGTACCGTTCAAGCACAGAGACCATTTGTAGAGTGGCTCACAAATTTGCAAAGAGACCTCTTTTAATTCCAGCAGCACCCCCATGAGGTTGCCAGGATGGGTACTATCATTTCCTCCTTTAACAGAAAAGGAAACCAAGGCTTGGAGAAATGACCTGAGCAAGATACTATGCTCTTGCCACTGTGACCCACCTGCTATTCGTCCTAGTAACCTGCTGAGTTGGGGCATAAATGCGCTCTGTTCATCTAACTATGTCTGAAATGGGCCCTTTCTCCCTAAGTGCCAACATGCCTGGACTCAGAGATCATCTTCTTTAATGCAATCACCTTTCTCTGTGTCAGGGCCTGTGCAAGGTGCTGGAGGGCAGAGTTGACCAAGATAGTTTTCCATGCTGTAATTCTTAAAGCACCTGGTGCGCCATCCTGAGGTCAGACCACAGAGGACATCCCCACAGCATGACTCACAGTACTTCTGTCTGCAAGAGGCCAGTCAAATTAGACGTTATTAATAAAAGTGGGCTGAGCGCAGTGGCTCACGCCTGTAATCCTAGCACTCTGGGAGGCTGAGGTGGGAGGATTGCTTGAGCTCAGGAGTTTGAGACCAGCCTCAGCAGGAGGGAGACCCAATCTCTACTGAAAATAGAAAAACTTAGCCAGGTGTGGTGGCGAGAGCCTGTAGTTTCAGCTACTGGGGAGGCTGAGGCAAGAGAATAGCTTCAGCCCAGGACTTTGAGGTTGCTGTGAGCTGGGCTGACGCCACAGCACCCCAACCTGGGCAACAGAGCAAGACACTGTCTCAAAAAAAAAAAAACATTAATAAAACCTACATGGCTGTCATACCATGGGGGAGGGGAGGAGGGAGGAAAACAGCTTGCTCTGAGCCGTGTCCAGAACTGCCGCCAGGTGACCATCTGCCTCGGATGGCTAGGTGAGTGGAGTGAAGCTAGAGTAGTCCCCAGGGGCCCAGAATGTCACCCCTGAGACTGGTGCCCTGGGGACTGGTGCCTCAGGAACTTTACTTCCCCTCCCCCCATCCCATTCTACTCCCCTTGAAGAATTTCTCTTAAAATGCAAATGTGTCATTTTCCCTGCTGCCCAGAATGTCTGTTCTTTCCTTTTTCTGACTTAGTTTTTAATATCCAGTTCAAATGTCACCTCCTCGGCCAGAGGCAGTCACTTCCTCTTCCAGGCTTTCCTAAGCGTTGCCTCTGCCGTTGGTCCCACCAGAGGGCCGTTGCTGTGGTCTGGTCCCTGCATGCCTTGCTCTGGTTGGCAGCCCAGGGTCTAGTGCTGGGCCTGGCCCAGGGGGTGAGGTGCACAGTACCAGCCCATTTCTACACGTTCAATGAAAGAAGAATTGTCAAAATGAAATATTAACATTGTCTTTGTCTGGATGGAAGGCAGAGATCATAACACCCTCTTCTCAGCCCTGCCCTGGAGAGCCTGCCTCTCTGTGAGTTCCCTGTTGCACACCCCTGTTCCGTGCACACAGCACACCTGTGCTTGCACATGGAGGCGTGCCCCGGCTGTGAGTGGTGGGTGGCTCCTCCATCCGGGCCACATAAGCCCTGGGTGTGCCCTGTGTGGAAACACAGGGATGAGGGTGGGGGCTTTAAGGACCTGGAAGCCCCAGGGTTAGGCCATGATTGGGTGCTAGACAGGAGGAGCAGGTTGGGGTGGGAGCTGTCACTCAGCCCCGGTTCTTCCTCCTTCCTTGACCACGGTGACCAGAGGCCACACACAGAGGTCTGGGGGCTGAAGAGAGCCAGGTACAGGAGGGAGGACCCAAGGGGGCCTTAGGCTCAGGTCTCTGCCCGGAAGTAGGCTGCAGAGGTGAGAGGGACAGAGGGAAGGATGTGGGGACCGGTGCCTCAGGAAGGCTCAGGGGCGAGGTAGGAAGACCCAGGCCAGGGATTCCTGTTCTGGAATGTCCACTGCCTAATTGGGTCACCTGCACAAGTCATTTCACCCTTCTAAGCTTCGGTTTCTTCATCTGTAAAATGGGCATAACGAGCCCAGCCTGCCAGGTGGTTAGTGAGGTCACCGGATGTGACCGGCGCTCGGGAACCTGCAGAGGGCAGTACCGGCTGCAAGGCCCGGACCGAGCGCTGTGTGCCCGCGCAGGGGGCGGGCGCCTGGCGGCATGGGTGGCGCAGGAGTCCCCGCCCTGCGCTGGCTCTGGGGCACCGGCCCCCTCCCCGCAGGACCCCGCGGGCCGAGCGTCTGGGCCGGTCCTCTCCGGCGCGCTGCCAGGGCCGGCCGGGCTCCGCGCAGGCGGGCGGAGGCGGGCAGGAAGCGCCGCGCCCAGCGAGCCGGGGACTCTGGGAGCCAGCGGGAGACGCCGGCGTCCGCCCCGCCGCCCCGCCCGGGTAAAGGCCTAGCTGGCTCGGTCGCCCCTCCGCCCTCGGGGTGGTGCCGGGCAAGCGCCGCTGGGAGTCCGCGGCTCGGGGAGCCGTTTGGAACCGAGTTTGGCGGGGAGCTCCGGACCCGTGGGAACACCGCGCTGTACTTTTCCTGCAGTGCCCCGTCCTTTTCTCACTGCCCTGGAGACCCGGGTGATACTGACTCGTGGCCCTGATGTTAACCCCGAGCCAGATGCCCGGAGCTTTCTCATGTTTCCGGGGCCCCTTCCCCAGCCTCCGGACTCCCGCTCTGCGCCCCGTCAGCACCGCCTGCTAAGGCAGGTGGCCCCGTGCAGCCGATTCCCCCGAAGTGTGCCCTACCCTTAAGCGCGGGTCTCACCAGAGACCAGGCCCGAATAGAAGCACGCTTTATTGAAGGGGGCTTGAGGGGCCCAGGAAAGGCTTCTCAGGGGAAAAGACCTTTGAGCAGGCTCTTAAAAGATTGGGTGGGATTCTAACAGAGGAGAAAGGTCATTCCAAACTGAGGAGAGGGTGTGAACAAGTTTAGGACTGCGAGAGCCAGAATCCAAGAAGCCCGGGGGAATGAGGTGCACGCTGGGGGCAAACTCAGAATAGCTTGGGCGGGCCAGGTGTTTGGACTCAGTAAGTAGCCTCAGACTTTAGGGAGGTGATTGGTGCCCGGGAGCAGGGATTGGAATGGGATGAGACTGAAGGCAGAGGCCATGGAGGAGATGGGGGGCCTGTATGGGGCAGTAGGGACTGGCGGACAAAGCAGTGTGTGGTGGGGGAGGAGTTGGTAGGACTGTGTCTGCTGCCTGAAGGAACAGGGGAAGAAGGATTTGAGGACAAATAGCTCAGGTTTCTAGCCTAAGGCATATGGGTGGGGAGATTTGCAGCAAAATATCTAAAAGGGGAGGAAAATGATGAGTTCAGTTTTACATGGGTGAAGTTAGAAGCCGTGGCAGGATAGCCATATGGAGAGGTCAAGTAGGAAGCGCACTCATTCATTTATTTATTATTTATGCCAGCCTCAAAGGCAGCTTGTAAGCCTTCCTGACTTACATGCAAGTCACAGAGGAGATAAAATGATAATCAGCTAAAAGGACCTGATAGCTAGGGAACAAAGGCAGAGGGGAATGGGTCATTATTACTGGAAAATCTAGGCTCAGAAAAGCGGCTGAAAATAAACACAGGACTCTTGTGTGAGTCGCTGACAGCCAAGCAAAAAAAGGACACCTAAAGTAAAGCAGTTTGTGAGATTGGAACTCGGGGAAAGGTGTTTGCGAAGCCTCAGGAGAGAGAGAAGAGGTGGCAGGAGATAAAATGGGATTGACCACTCAAGCTGGGGTTTTGGAGAGGGAGAAGAGCTGAAAGCCAGGCGGGGGCTTCAGCAGGGCCAACATTTGAGGAAAGGCTGACCCTCTCCTGGAAGAAAGGCCCTTCCTTGGCTGGCATGGGGCAGGGGTGGGGAGGAGTGATGTGTGGTGGTAGTGGGGATCCAGTCACATTATTCTTCTTGCAGGGAACAGGATCTAAGGTGGTGCTAAGTCCCCCAGGCTCTCCCTACTTTCTCTCCCAGCATGAGGTGGTGTCGCCATTTGCCCAGGGCCTCTTGGGTTTCTGGTCTGGGAAGAGCACCCCAGCCACCAGGTGAGTAGGAAGCAGGGGTTTCTGTTTCTCTCCCTTCCTCTTCAGTGTCTACACAGTACCTCCATGAGAGCAGGGATCCAGACACTAACCACATTAAGTCCCAGCTGTGTGGTTCTCTAGCTGTTGACCTTGGGCATGTCACCTCACCCCTTTAACTTCCTCTTTCCCATCCTAAAACAAGGGAGTTGGACTAGATGATCTCTGAGCATCCCTTGTAGCTACATAAGTCCAGGAACACTTGTCTGATTTCATTTAGCATTCAACAGATGTTTACCGAGTGCCTGCTGTGTGGCAGACCCCATGTTAAGTTCTAGGTATATAATTATAGACAAAACCAGATGTGATCCCTGCTCTCATGGAGGGAGAAGGAGTTAAATAATCACACATGAAATATAAAATTGCACAATATCTGCCACAAAGGGGCAGCACATGCTGCTATGGGAGCAAATAATGGAGGATTTGATGTTGATGTGGGGTCTGTATATTGGTGGGAAAAGGTGGATGGGATCTGAAGATGTTATTTCATCCTTCTCTCTGTAGATGAACGTATACCCTTCCTGAGCCACTGGAGTTGGCCCTTTAAAGGGGAGCGTCCCCTTGGCCCCCCTAGGTGAGGCCTGGGTGTCATACCTTGGATGGCATCTGGCACAGCAGGGTAGACTGGGAAGGGTCAGGACTAGCTGGACCCCCAAGGGGAGGGACTTGGTCTTCTGGGAGTGGGAGGATACAGAGGCAGCTCCCAGGCGTGAGAGGAAGTTAGAGTGGTCAGTGGAGGGTGTGGGAAGTGGGTGGGGTCTGGCAGTGGCCAGCCTGAGTCCCAGGCAGGCAGTGGGGGCTGGAGGGCTAGGGGATAGCCCTCAGGCACTGAGAAGGGTGTGAGAGTCAGACAAGGCTCTTGGGTGTCCAGAGTTGGGCCTGTATCTCCGGAAGCCAGAAGTCCAGCAGTACACGCAGGCCTGGACTCATCCCCTCTCCTTGCTCCCAGGGTCTTTATACGCCACCACAGAAGCTCAACGGACAGTGCTCCGACATCAGGGAAGAAGGAAAAGCTGTTTGGCAGCATCTCTGCAGCTGGTAAAGGGACTGGCTGGGATCCTGGTGCAGAAAGGGGTGGGGCGGGGAGAGGGGGCAGAAAGGAGAAGCAGGATGAGGGAGGCGTAGAGGATCCACTGCCATCATCCATCCCTGGTCCCTCCTCTTTCCCTCCCTCCCATTGGTCCATGTACCCCTTCCTGCAGCACTCACACAGTGCACACCTACTATGTGCAAAGTGCTAGGAAAGACATACCATTCCTATCTTTAACAAACTCTGGGCCTAGCAGTCAGGTTAACACTGCACACATATAACCGTGAAACCAGTCAGCCGAGGCTTGGCATTACTCATCTGGTAGCTTCCCCCTTTCTGCCATGGGGGTTCCAAACTTTCTAGACAGTTTGTATTTTCTGAGGGTGTCCTGTGTGCCCAGCACCATTCTGGGCCCCAGCATCTCTGGGTGCTGTGTCTTGATTCCCCAGCCTGACCCGACCACCACCTTGTCTGGCCCTGAGCTCCTACATCTCTCACCCATTTCCCTTGCCTTCCCATCCAGAAGCTATTCGGCGGCACCGCAGGAACCTGGCGGAGTGGTTCAGCCGGCTGCCCAGGGAGGAGCGCCAGTTTGGCCCCACCTTTGCACTAGACACGGTCCATGTTGACCCTGTGATCCGTGAGAGCACCCCTGATGAGCTGCTTCGCCCCTCTGCAGAGCTGTCCCTGGAGCATCAGCCGCCCTCTGCTGGGCTCCCCCCACTGGCCCTGTCTCAGCTCTTTGACCCCGATGCCTGTGGGCGCCGGGTGCAGACAGTGGTGCTGTACGGGAAAGTGGGCACAGGCAAGAGCACGCTGGTGCGCAAGATGGTCCTGGACTGGTGTTATGGGCGGCTGCCAGCCTTCGAGCTGCTCATCCCCTTCTCCTGTGAGGACCTGTCATCCCTGGGCCCTGCCCCAGCCTCCTTGTGCCAACTTGTGGCCCAGCGCTACACGCCCCTGAAGGAGGTTCTGCCCCTGATGGCTGCTGCGGGGTCCCGCATGCTCTTTGTGCTCCATGGCTTGGAGCGCCTCAACCTCGACTTCCGGCTGGCAGGCACAGGGCTTTGTAGTGACCCTGAGGAACCAGAGGCACCAGCTGCCATCATTGTCAACCTGCTGCGCAAATACATGCTGCCGGAGGTGGGCGGCCCCTTGCCCCACCCTGTCACTCCTGCCCCTTGACTTGCCCCCTAAGGATTTTTGTGTCCTCAGCCCACATGTTTATTGGGTAGGGGGACAGGCCCTGGGTTAGTTCAAATCCTGGCCCCTCTACTTCCTAGCTGTGTGACTCTGGGCAAGTCACTAACTTCCCCAAGCTTCTGTTTCTTTCTCTCCCTGAGTCGTACCAGTCAAATGAGATACTGTGAATAAAGTTCTTAGCACAGTGTCCTGAATCACAATGGTGCTCAATAATTGCTAGTTATAATTATCATACTCATCATTCTCTTCATCTTTGGACTCTCAGTCTTCAGGGGCCCCTTGGGGATCGAGGCAATCAGGACACTTAAGTCTTTCTTAACCCTCAACCATGCTCTTCCCAGGCCAGCATTCTGGTGACCACCCGGCCCTCTGCCATTGGCCGAATCCCCAGTAAGTACGTGGGTCGCTATGGTGAGATCTGCGGCTTCTCGGATACCAACCTGCAGAAGCTCTACTTCCAGCTCCGCCTCAACCAGCCGGACTGTGGGCATGCGAGTTGGGGCGCAGGTGTCTCAGCCACACCAGCTCAGCGTGACAACCTGGTGCAGATGCTCTCCCGGAACCTGGAGGGGCACCACCAGATTGCTGCTGCCTGCTTCCTGCCCTCCTATTGCTGGCTCGTCTGTGCCACCTTGCACTTCCTGCACGCTCCCACGCCTGCGGGGCAGACCCTTACGAGCATCTATACCAGCTTCCTGCGCCTCAACTTCAGTGGGGAGACACTGGACAGCACTGACGCCTCCAATCTGTCCTTGATGGCCTATGCAGCCCGAACCATGGGCAAGTTGGCCTACGAGGGGGTGTCCTCCCGCAAGACCTACTTCTCCGAAGAGGACGTCCGTGGCTGCCTGGAGGCTGGCATCAAGACGGAAGAGGAGTTTCAGCTGCTGCACGTTTTCCGCCGGGATGCCCTAAGGTTTTTCCTGGCCCCATGTGTGGAGCCGGGGCACCCAGGCACCTTTGTGTTCACCGTGCCCGCCATGCAGGAGTACCTGGCCGCCCTCTACATTGTGCTGGGTTTGCGCAAGACCACCCTGCAGCGGGTGGGCAAGGAAGTGGCTGAGCTTGTGGGCCGCGTGGGCGAGGACGTCAGCCTGGTGCTGGGCATCATGGCCAAGCTGCTGCCTCTGCGGGCTCTGCCTCTGCTCTTCAACCTGCTCAAGGTAACAGCTCAGGCCCCACCCTCGCGCCTTCCCTCCCCAGGACCCCAGGCTGTCCACCACCCCGGCTCCCTCTTCACCCCTTGCTCCTCTCCCAGAGGAAACGACTGCTTCCTACACAGGTGTGAATGTGTTCCTTGGCTCTGGTTCCAGCAATGGGCAATCTGGCTTTTAGTGGGAATGGGGCATAAGGGATGGGGACAGAAAAGCCACAGGCTGGGGAAGGCTTGGAGACTGGGAGGGAAATTCGAGGGCTCAGAGATTTAAAAACAATCCTACGTGGATTCCTAAGAATGGTTTCTTTTTTGCATCTTTCCTCCTAGTCTTCGTTGCTGGGAGGCAGGGGTCACTATAGTCCAGGGACTGTCCTCTGCTTCGCAGGTCCAGAAACTCAATTGCGTCTGTTCCCCCAGAGGTGATTCGGTTCTGGGAGTGATGACTCATCCTAACTAAATCACCGAGACAGATTTATAAAGCAGATGCCATTTTATTCATTTATATCGGGAGGATGAATGGCATTGGTAATTGGCTTAGGACAGCGTGTCCTGGGTGGAGGTCCACTCCAGAAACCAGATTGCAGACCTGAGCACTGTGCTTTGAGCAGGGCGGATGTGCTAAGTCCTGAGGGACGCGAGGAGCCACTCTGTTGGTGTCTGCCAGGTGCTTGCTTTATCAAGGTTCTTCCTTTTGTTTTTCACATCAACCCTGGAAATGGAATACCATTATGATCCTTTCTAGAGATGAGGAAATTGAAGCTCAGAGATACAAAGAAACTTTTGTTTTTGTGATTCTGAACCCTGTGCTTTTTCTGCCAAAATATGCTGGTGTGTTAGGGATGTTTCTATCTGTTAAGCTGTGGTGTCTTGCTAGGTAACCCTTGTCTTCTCTGGGAATCTTTCAGCAATTGGTCTTGGGGAGGCAGAGCCCTGGTCAGTGCAGGCAGAATTTCAACAAAGTTTTCTTTTTATAGGCACCAAAGCCTAAGGGTTAAGAAGAGGGATTCAGTAACCCAGCTATCTGGGTTCAAATCCAGGTTCTTCTACTTACTAGCTGTGTGACCTTGGACAAGTTACTAAACCTCTCTGTGCCCCACATTCCTTATCTGTTAAATGGGGGATAATACTAGATCCTATATCATTGGCCTAATATGAGGATTAAATGAATAATCCCTAGGGACTGGCACACAATAAGTCCTATTTAATCGTTTGTCAAACACAGGAAAAGGCTCAGGCAGCCCATCCCTTCTCACACCATCTGCTCACACAAGGTCATAGCCACTGCTGAGGCTACCCCACCCTCTTGAGGATGTGCTTGCTGTATCTGGACTGCTCTGGTCTCCTGGTGGGATTCAGAAAGCCCCCCAGTTATTTTGAAAGCCCACCAGAATTGTTAGCACCAGAGGGGGGTGCCCTAGCAGAGGACCGATCCCATCGTTTCTTCATGATCCTACTGACTCAGCTTCACAGGGTGACATCTTCCGGTCTCATTGGGGAAGGGGCACTATCACCTGCATGGCAGGAACCTCACCTATATTAATAAAAAGGGAAAAAAGCGCAGACATTAGAAGAGGTGCCACAAAACAATGTCATGGTTCATTGCCGGGGGAATGGACCCTTCCTTCTTTCCTCTCTGAACCATTGCAGGGGTGGGAGAAGATATCAGAAATGTTCATTTCTTCGTCAAATACTGGAGTACCTGTGGTGTGCCAGGCAGTGGGTTGGATTCTTGGGAAGTCAGTTAACAAAACTGCAGGGTTCTGCCCTTTTTTTGAGACAGAGTCTGGCTCTGGGCTAGAGTTGCCTGGGCTAGAGTGCCGTGGCGTCATCCTAGCTCACAGCAACCTCAAATTCCTGGGCTTAGGCGATCCTTCTGCCTCAGCCTCCTGAGTAGCTGGGACTACAGGCATGTGCCACCATGCCCGGCTAATTTTT